AAAAAAAAAAAAAAAAAAAATTGAAGGCTATAATTAAAACAAGTCTTTGTAGTGGGAGAATCCCTTTTTGGGTTCTCTGCGAAGTCACATAGAAACTGGAGAATTCGTTTTCTTTTTATTTTTATTTTTGTAATCATTGTTTGTTGTGAACAGATAATTGAACAAGGTATTTGTAAAAAGGTTTTTAGATTCAGAGGTGTAAAGTAAGGAGGAGACTCGTGGTAACAAAAGAAATGACTGTCTGCATTGCATATATATATATATATATATATATATATATATATATATATTTTTTTAAAAAAAAAAAAAAAAAAAAAAACCTTTTTATTATTATGTGTTTTTGTTTTTTTCTATTTTTCACTGGACGTTTTTTTTTTTCTTTTTTTTTTTTAATTTTCGTTGTGTTTTCAGTTGTTTTCCGTTTACGGCAAGAGTGGGATGTCACGTGTATTGTGTATTTGCTCTTTACTTTTTGCTACTATTACTACTACTATGATTGATGTTACTGTTGCTATTGCTATTGATGCTGCTGCTCCTGTTCTTAATATTATTTGTACGGTTTCTTTTTTTTTTTTTTTTTCGTTGTTGTTGTCTCTTTGCCTGTGTACGTATTGGTGGTGTGGGGGAAAAAATACTATTTTTTTTTTCTTTTCTTTAATGTCTTTCTTGTATAGACTATGTTTTTTTTTTTTTGTGTTTCTTTCATTTTCTCTGATGTTCTCTCTCTCTTTTTTTTTTCCTTTTTTCTCTTTATTTCATTCAATCAATTCTTCTTTTTTTTTCTTCTGTTCTGTCTTCATAAAAGAAGAAGAGTAAATAGTTGACGTTATTACAAGAAATTTACTGGAAAAGTGCCAAATCTCGTTTCTTGTGGCGTCTCTCTCACTCTCTCTTGTATACTCTCACACGTATACACTCCCACACTTGCACAGGCAAACACGTAAAAACAAGAAGAGAGATTTGGGGAGACAAATAGTAAAAAGAAACGGAGGAAAAGAAACAAGAAAAGAAAAAAAAAAAAAA